CAGTTTCAGAGAAAAGTAGTCCTTAATTTCATCCTGGAGAGACGTGTTTTTCTCCTTTTTTAGTGAATATGCTAGATCTCAATGTATTTCGAGAGATGGTTGAATTGAGTTCGTTGTTTGTCTGATCTTCATTGTAGCGTTCGCTTGTGTATTTCTGAGCTTCAATCTTGAAGTTCTCCAGAATTGTTTCCTTGTTCATGTTCAAAGTGTCAAGAACACCTGGCCGATCAAGCAGGCTTTCTTTGATTCGAGGATCGAGCAAGGTTGCACATATGTAGACTGGTTTCGTGATGGCGGCATTGAAATAGCCTTTCAGTTTATTGTGCATTTCAATGGCCGACGGAATCAGATCCTGGGCATCATACCTCATTGTTGTCTGTTCCGTCACAAAGATAAATGTCAGACCAGTTATGATGTAGTTTGCAAATGGATTTCAAGGAAAGCTCACTAGACGAAGCTCTTTCATCATCATGATGTATACCGGTGCAGCAAGCGATAAAGTGACCGTGTTTTCTGGTGAGATCGTATTGGTTGCGTCATGGAGAAGCCCCATAAAACTACACAGCTGGTTCAGTTTGAGCCATTCGTGCGGTTGGAGGTTGTACTGGTCAGATAAGTGATGTGCCTCGCAAAAGGTGGAAATGCAAGCTTGAAGTTCGGATGCTCGCTTTAGCATCAAGAAGGTGGAATTCCACCGAGTCGCAACATCTTGAACCATATGAATGTCTTCACCAAACGCGCGAATTGTGACCTTTGCAAATAATGCAGCTTTCTGAGGGGAGTGTTTTAAGAATGAAGCGAACCCTTTGATTCGAGAAATAATAGTCTTAACTTCCACCGGAGCAGGCTGATCGTTTAAAATGCTCATTAGACCATCAGGCAAAGCTGTTGAAGGTGCTGATGATTGAGAGAATTCTTTGATCCCAGCTTGAGCAGCAAGGTTAATTACGTGAGCCATACAACCCAGGAGACAATTTTCATTATCGAAGGGAATCAGATTCGCCAGATGAGCTCCCATGGTTCGATTGTTTGAAGCATTGTCGGAGGTGATGCAGAAAATTTTATTGCAAATGTCAAAATCTTCAAGCACCTCTAGCAAGTGATTTGCGAGCGACACTCCCGAGTGATTCCCGTCCACAAGTCGTGCAGCAAGGATAATGGAATTGAGAGAGAAATCCTCATCAATCCAATGCGCTGTAACTCCGAGTACAGACTGATTGCTTGGCGAAGTCCAAGTGTCACAAGTCAGACTGATTTCCGATTTGAGTGCACGAAGCTGATCACAGAGCACTTGCTTCCCCTGTCGAAAGGTTTTTCGAATACAAGCGGATAATGTGTCTTTGCCACAAATAAACTCATCGATGGCCGGGTTGCAGAGTCGAAGCAGTTGATGAAAATGCGGATCCTCGACCGTATAGAAAGGAATGTTACAGCCAACAAAAAAGCGGGCCAGAGACGAGGTCAAGGAGCTGCGGTCAAGCTTTTTGAAGTTACATCCTTTTTCTAAGAATTTGGTGATTGCACCAGTGCTCTGTTTGTTCTC